GAAGTTGAGGATCCACTGACACAGTGATGAGCTGAGTCCTAGATCCGTCAACTCGGTGAAAAGCTTAGAGGGAATTATTGTGTTGAATGCTGAACTGTAGTCCACGAACAGCATCCTAACATAATACACTCTGCAAGTGCAAAGGTGACTCAGGGATGTGTGGAGCAGGTGAGATATGGCATCGTCTGTGGAACGATTAGTCCGGTAAGCAAACTGAAGTGAGTCGATGGTGGCAGGAAGTGAAGAAGTGATGTGATCTCTCATCAGTCTTTCAAAACACTTCATCACAATTGAAGTCAGTGGTAGTCATTGTGGCAAGCGGGCTGTTGTTTCTTTGGAACAGGGACAATAATGGACTGTTTGAAGCACGTGGGAACCACAGCTTGGGCCAGGGAGAGGTTGAAGATCTCCGTGAACACCGGTGCTAGTTGATCAGCGCAGGCTCTAAGGACCTGCTATAGCCAACATCTCGTCTGCTGTAAAAGAAATCATATTTTATATTGCTTGTTTTTAAAATATTAATATGACCATTTTCAACATTGGCCTTGTTGTATATGTTTTTACATTCAGGTTTCATTTTTGTGATTTGTAGTATAAAAAGTTAAAATATTTAATTTGGGACTGCCTTTTACTAATTTTATTAGTTTCATAATCAAAGTTTTTGTTTTGTAATTCTTTTTGTTGTTGTTGTTCATGTTAGTCTTCAATTGGTTCAAACAGTTTGTAATTGCACTGTGTTGTTATTGGATTGTCAGTCATCTGTAACGCACTAGGGACTGCACTAACTTGTACAAAAGGTTCTGAAGATATAATTACTGACTGATTCATTAACTGATTGTGAGCCCAGAGATGAAAACCAACTCTAATTTCTTGATTGATTCATCACCAAGTCTTTGTTGGCTGGATTTCTGTCAAGCGAATTTCCATGCATGGACTGATCCTGTTCCTACTTCGTTAAGAACCGATATCAGGAGAGATGGAATGAAAAGTTTCAGATTCACACATTATGTTGCAATGTGTCAACACAATCAGAGAAGGCTGTTTGTAGCATTTCCATTCACTCCAATGAGGCAGCTTTGCATTTAATTAAGCACAAAAAACCTAAACCTTGGTCGTCGGTGGGCCAAGACTGTGTGCGAGAGGTGAATTTCAGGAGTTTTGGCTACACTTATATAAGCTCTGATTTCATGTGCTGGCAGACCCTTTCTGCCTGTTCCCCACTCTCCTCATCTTCTCTTCTCCTCCCAGAGATTACCTCGATTACTCTGGCAAGACATCAGAAGCAAATCAGTAAACAGGGAGAAAGCAAGCAAGCGAAGAATTACTGTTGCATGACTAAAAGTGTAGCGCTATCATAGCTAGTGGGCATCTGCCATCTCACAGAGAGGAATATACTTTGGTCAAACAAAAGATTCTTTTTTTTCTCTTTTCTTTCTTAAACGTATCAGATGCATGCGAACGTTAAGGACGAGACTGACAGATATGTGTGCAAACTGCAGTTTAGCTGCACAGTTCATGAATAAAGTATCCATTTAAGATCAAACGTGCACCGAATTTCAGTTCAGCTGACAGAAGACGGAGCTGGAGCAGATACATCGCTGCAGAGTTCCATCTCAACAGATGACAACATTTCCCGTTCCATATTGTATTTCTTCTTTAATTATGAATCCATAAGTGAACCAAACCATGCTGTGTTCCTGCGTTTACCCACAGCAGCACATCATCCGGAGTGATTGGCTCATAAAACATGTCTAATCTGCTAATACTGAATGAAGAAAGCCCATCATCTCGCCAAGATTTAAGACAAGCCTCTC